CACAGATACCAGTGATACAAAATACCTGCAATCCTTACAGAAACAATAGAAGACAGACACAGAGCAATCCTTCACAGACACCCAGACACTATGGGAGAAAGATGCAATGGATCTACCATCTCAGGACCATAGTACTGGGGGACACCAGACTCAATCGGCACAACAAAATACATAAAAGCCTTGCTCCTTACCCTATATTGGTGAATAGCAACTGGGGTCTTAAAAGCTTTCAAGCGACCATCTAAGATGCAGCTAATGGTCTCCTAGCATTGGAAACAAGGAAGAGTGCGAAGAAACAAGGGCATTTGGAAACAATCAGCCCTAGGACACGATGGCCCTCGAGACCAGAAGAACTAGATGGTGTCCAGCTACCAATGCCAACCACTCAGGAAAGGATAAAATCTGGAGATCTGGATAGAGTGGGAGGGAAAATGTGGAACAAAATCCAAACACTCAATAATGACCATAATTACTGGTCAGATGGAGTCTGGTGAGACCCCCAATACTATGGCCCTAGAATACATTCTGTACCTGGAATAAAACTTACACCCAGGGGCAGGCTCTCAGCCCAATAGTTAACAAGATGTACATGCAGACCACTCAACCCAGGGTGACACACCCACATACTCTATGAAAATACATCCCTTGGAGCAATAGACCACGGGGCACCAGAGGGGCAACATTCACACTGCGGTAATACAGGATAAACAGGAGTGCATTATTATGAGGGGCACAGGGGGAGGGTTACTGGACAGGGAGGGGAGGAGACTGGGTTAGGGTTGGGCACAGTAAATGGGGAGTGAAACTAAATGTACACATAACGTTGAATGTAAAACTGACTCTTAAATTTTTTAAAAAAGTGTAAGTACAAGTTATTCCATTTTTCTGACCTCAAATTAGAGGGAAAACTAATCCATGGTGATAAAAATCAGACAGTGGTAGGGAGACTGATTGAATATAGCACAAGGGAACTTTCTATGGGGATTTGTCAAGTTCTATGATAAATTCTTGTCAAGTGTTAGGTTACATGGGTGTATACAATTGTCAAAACTCATTGAACTGTTCACTTAAGATGTGTGCATTTTACTGCATATTGATTTATCTTAAGCTGTTCAAATCAAAAGTCAGAAACACATTTTAAAAACCAAGTTTCAAATACTATATTTTAACTCACACATTTAAATACAGGCAATAAATGGGCAACAATTTTTATTTTATTTGTATTCTGTATGTTTTAAACATAACTTGTAAGTCAGTGTCAGGATTTTCCATTGGCTATGGCATAAGGAGATAGCATTATTATATAAACTGAAACTTGAAATGGCATTTGGTAGAACATGATTTTACCTGCATATATTAAATAAAAGTATGCAGAAATAAGCCCAACAAGAATGTTTCTATAGAACATGGATTACACTTAACTAATAGGAAATATCACTGATCTCCTTCAGAGTATAAAAAGGGTCAGGCTCCAGGTCATTTTTATGAGTAAAGTTGAAATGTCTATTTGGAAGGCAAGGATGTAACTTCAGTTGTGCTGACTCTACTTTGTTGTTGTTGTTGTTATGTGCCATTGAGTCAGACCTGACTCATAGCGACCCCTCCTTGGGTTTCTGAGGCAGTATCACTATGGAAGTAGATTGCCCCATCTTCCTTCCGAGGAGTGGCTGGTGGGTTTGAACCTCCAGCCTTCTGGTTAGCAGTCAAGTGCCTTAGGCATTATGCTACCAGAGCTCCTTTAACTTTCAGAAATTCTCTAAAACTTCCTGTTGTCAGTCAGTAAAAACTAGTAGTCTTTGGAACTTTATTGAAGGCTAACAAAGACCCAGAAAAGTGAACTAACTTATCCTGGGCTTCACGGTCAAAAATCGAGTTGGGTTTAAATTCAAGTATCTTGATTCCCTGTTAAGATTAATTAATCCAACAAACATGTATGAAACATCTACTCGCCTAAGTCCTGGGGGTAAACAGATACCAGCTTGCCTTTAAGAAACCTCACTGTCAATGACGAAGCCTGACATTTATGTAGCGTTTAATGACTTTTAAAGAGCTTTCATGTATATTGGGAAGTCACGAGGACAGTATTATTGTCTTTATTTTACCGATGAGGAGAGAGATGCACATAGAAATAGTAGGTAAAGTTTCTAGGCTTATCCTTCTCGCTAACTAAACCAGAGTTAACTTGAGATTTGCTTGCATTTTAAAGATACATTCCAAAAGTATTCAGTGTCACTATAATTTGACTGTTTCTTAATATAACTTACAAAAGAAAATGATTTTGATGTGACTGCAAACCCCTTCAATCTCTGTCTTTTGTTTATTATTTTTTTTTTCTTTCTACTCTTGCTGGACTTTTCCATGGTTCAGTCCTTGTTTCCCTGACCTTCATGTGCTGCATACTCTTGATGTTTTCTAGACTCACCCTGCTTTGGTTCTTACATGGATATATTTTCCAGATGTGTATCTCCAATCTTGATGTCTCACCTTACAGCCAGTTTCACATTTCTAACAGCATGAGGGTGATATCCCTTTTAATAAATTTTCACTTAAAATTCACCACATATCTAAAACAGAATTCATCTTCTTCCCTGCAATCCATCCATGCGTCATTTTTTCCATAACACCTAAAACCTGAGATCTCAAAAACATCGTTGACTCTTCCTCTCCCACATCAGGTAAGGCCTCCTCCTTTTTTCCCCAGTGTTTTCTGAATCTGTCACTATCCTGGTGTCTCCAGCCCCTATCCATCTATCTCCAATATTGCCCACATTACCACCAAATGAACTTTTTCACTTCCTTGTTTACATCTTGTTGCTGTCCTACTCAAACAGCTTTGATGGCAATTCAACTTTCTACTGAATAAAGCCTGAACATTCAAAGTTTCTCAAAACTTGGCCTCAAGTACTACTCTTCACTCTGGGAACTCAGCGTTCTAGCTGAAAGGATCCACTCACTGTGCCCGGAACACGCCTTTCACTTTCCCAACTTAGTCTTTGTTCGCGCTATTCTTCTCCTGTGCTAGAATGCCGTCAGGGTATTCTCATTCTTCAAACCCTTCTCCAGTCATTACTCTTCTGTCCTGTCGTTGTGTTGTTATGTGCCGTGGAGTCGTACCTGATTCACAGAGACCCCTCCTTGGGCTTCCGAGGCAGTATCACTATGGAAGTAGATTGCCCCATCTTCCTTCTGAGGAGTTCAAACCCACCAGCCTTCTGGTTAGCAGTCAACTGCCTTACGCTACCAGAGCTCCCACTCTTCTGTCCTACCTCAGGCTAAAAGGCATCTTTCTCACCTTTGACTTCCCATGGCACACATTGTATCATTCACATGACACTGTCTTGCTTTGATCCCATTTTGTCTAAGTGTATTAATTATCTTTTCAGGTAGACCTTGGCGGTCATGGACTATGTGCAAATGGTTAACACACTCAGCTGCTAAGCAAAAGACTGGAGATTTGAGTCTGCCCATGGGTGCCTTGGAAGAAAAGCCTGGTGATCTACTTCTGAAAAATCAGCTGGTGAAAACCCCATGGAGCACAATTTTACTGACACATGTGGGGTTGCCACGAATAGGAATCAGCTCAATGGCAACTGGTTTCCTGTTGTTAGATCACCATGTACACAGCCTTGATCCTAAACCAGTGCTCAATGCATTGTTAATTGACAGCTAAAGCTATTTTCTATCCATAAGAAGTTTAGAGCAGAGATTTTTAATTGTAAAAAATACTTGCATGCATACACTATTTAGTTGAAGTAAAGAACAATGTTAACTATTTTTCAGAGAGACTTTTTGTCCCCAAAAAGTAAGTGGACTTAGATCTGGTTACTGGCATGGTGATTTGAGGATGGAAAATGCCATTTCTAAAACCAGACAATGAGAATAGTTCCAGGGACAGGGTTTTACATTCTATCTGGGACATCTTTGTCCTGGGCAGTTTTAATGCTTAAAGTCCATTAACCTGTTACCTTCACTACTAAGTTAGTTGTAAAGCATTGTTTAACATACATTTTAAGCAGCTAAATTATCGAACTGCAAACATGGTCCCTGGAATCTTACTTCACTATAATGGACATCCATCATGCCAGCATCTTCTTTCATTGCCCCTTCTTCATCTACGTTGGGAGTAATTTTCTTGAAGGCTGAACATCCACTAGGGAATAATTCTGTGGGAAGAAAAAGTAGTGGAGCACATTTATTAAAAAGTGTTTTGTAAACAATGGACAGTCCTACAGGATTGGTTACACTTTAAAAATAAGAACAGATATTTCTGTAAGAATAAAAGCCACAGGTACCAGGTCCAGTTGCAAAAAAAGAATATTACAAATTATTTCTATTTACTACATATTCAACCAATCTTTTTCCCAAAAAGGGAGCTCAAGTTACTTTTGAGTAAGTTTCATTCTCTGACAGTGCATTATCTTCAATGGCTAGGAAATGTTTCCATAGTGTAATCTAAGAAAGGTTAGTAACACTTTGACCCTGTGGCTATCTGTGGCCTATCACGCACTCTCTCTTCAGGTAACCAGTGAATAATCACATGTATCCCTCTCCAGCTCTTAATTTCACTGGAGAAGTGGAAAAGGCAACGTATTGTTGGAGGAGGACAAGCCTAGAACTTGCAAGAGAGGCAGGAAGTAAAACAGATGGCAGGGATGAAGCATCCTCAGAGAAAGAGGATAGGGCATTGGAAAAACCTTAGCTTTTGGAGTTAGACAGAGTCAGCTCTCTCACTAGCGGGGTTTTTGGAAGGGTTTCTCTCTTTGAAATTACAAACATTTCACCAATCTGTAAAACATTGGTAATAACAGCTACCTTGTGAAAATTAAATTAAGTATAAAGTGTATAGAACAGAGTCTTACAAAAACTCACTGCCATTGAGTCAATTCTGACTCACAGCAGCTCCCATTGGATTTCTGAGGTAGTAAATCTTTATAGAAGTTGACTGACTCATCTTCCTTCCAACGAGCAGCTGGTGGGTTTCAACTGTCAACCTTCTGGTTAGCAGTCAAATGCCTTAGGCACTACGCCACCAGAGCTCCCTTTGATCCTAGCATATAAAAATTACTCAAGAATTATTATCAAACAAATCTCCGATAAATAAACTAGTTTTGTCAAGATAGTACAAAATGATTGCTGCCAGCTTGTACAGAAAGTGAGCCTGCAGCTGGATTCTTGGGAAGTAGAAAGTGAGCTCAAGCTAAGGCCAGCTGCTACAGAATTGTGGACCAAATTGTTACCGTTAAGCAGAAATCTTTAAGTGCGGAAGACACTACAGATTTTGGACAGGGGAACATGTCCAAGCATTCCTGCTGTGGTTACTTGTACCCATATCTAAGTGTGCTGTAATTTCAGCATTCAAGGAAAATTCATCCTCCTTATAACAGAATTTGTTAACCAACGAAAAGGTTTATTTCTGATAATGGCTGGTCACAGAAAGAACAAAAGCTACTGTAACCTATTGTTTTACTACCTCTCTAATAGTGACACTCAGAAATAATGACCTACTCACAACTAAGTATCTGGCAATCTTTGTGGGGTTAGAGGGTTGGGAAGGGAAGGTGGTCTAAGGAAGGCAGACCTTATGATGAGGTTTCTGAGAAGTCTGGTGGAGAGCACATCATGTAACAAGGCTTGGATTTTGCCAACTCTTCTTGTCTAAATGAAAGCTAACTGAGAATACATTTTAGAGGTAAGATGCTTGATAGAATATGAGTTACCTAGTAATCACCACACTTCTTATGAAAGAGAATTGGAATTCCAGTGGGGGAAGATGGGATTTTTTTTTAATTAAATTTTATTTAATTTGTTGTTGTTGAGAATATACACAGGGAAATATAACACCAATTCAATAGTTTCTACGTGTACAATTCAGTGACATTGATTATACTCAAGTTGTGCAACCATTCTCCCCCTCCCCCTTTAAGTTGTTCCTCCCTCAACATAAACTCATTGCCCCCCAAGATTTCTCTGCAATTCCTTGAGTTGCTGTTGTCAATATGATCCCATATAGCTAGTTCTTAAAAGATAATAAAGCTCAAGGCAGATTTTTTTTTTTAATAGTTGAGCTAAGTTACTGCTTGGTTTTAAGAAGACTTCAGGGGATATTTTTGGTTTAAAGTTTAAAGATTATCTCAGAGCAATAGTTTCAAGAGTTTATCTACCCTCCATGGCTCCAGAAAGTCTAGAATCCATGATAATTTGGAATTTTGTTTTGCATTTCCTCCCTTTTGATCAGGGTTCTTTTGTGGAATTTTTGGTCAAAATGTTCAGAAATGGTAGTAAGCACCATCCAGTTCTTCTGGTCTCATGGCAAAGGAGGCAATTGTTCATTGAGGCAAATAGCCATACATTCCAAACCCCCCTATTTCTGACTCTCCTACTTCTTCTGTTGGTTTCAGGGGAATAGAGACCAACTGTGCTTTGGATGGCGGCTCGCAAGCTTTTAAGATCCCAGCCACTACACAACTAACAAGGAGGCAGAACAGAAGTACTAAACATGTCATTGGGCCAATTAACTGGGATGTCCCATGAAACCATGAGCCTAAACCTCCAGTTCAAAGACACAAATCCCATGAGGTATCTGGTTGTATATAAACAGCCTCAGCAGCTATTTTTGGTCATTGCTATAAATATATTTATCACACAACTTTTACCAATTCAACTTTTTATAGGTGTACAATTTATTAACAGCAATTATAATAATTGGCTGTGCACCTCTAACCTTAATATGTAATTATTCAGAATTACTTTTTGAAGAAAGAGAAATCCATGGCGAATAGCCAATCGTTTTCCATCAAGGAAGAAGGAAAGGCAGAAATGAAAGTGAGATTTACTTCAACCTACTTGACATTAGGGCCACTTTTTGTTCAAAGAAAATAAAAGACACTGTAAGATCTAGCATGACACCTTTCCTTTTTGAAGATAAGCATAGCTAATGATCTGTTATGAGGGAGCTCTGGTGGCGTAGTGCCTAAGGCATTTGACTGCTAATCAGAAGGCTGGCGGTTCAA